GAAGATTTAGGGGACTTTTCCTCCTTCCTCGTCCCACAAAATCCTTAAAAATTCTCGTAGATATGGGGTTGTTATCTAGGGCATTTAAGTTGGTTTCATTTGCTTCATACTTCCCAACCCAACAAATGGCGATCGCGGGCATCCCCTTTCGAGTTGATTAGTAATCTGTGACCTTAACCAATTCCTGCCTTTCAGAAAACCCCGTCAGCATGTAAATAGTGCATTGCTACTGGAGCTGCTCACTGGTGTGTACATGGCATTATTCAATGGAGCACCTGATTTGGCGCTACGTGCAATTGACGCCATGCATCAACGTGCTCAATATGAGATTCTCGCCGAAGTCATACTGGTGGGAAAATTTTTGCTCTGTTACTTTAGAAAGGTTTTCTTTTGTGCAATATCTAGTTTATTTTGTCGTGGTAGCTTTTTCATAATATGATTTGGTATCTTACACCCTTTAGCTGCCCACACTCCAAATGCAGGCCATATTTCGGTCAAAGTTTGTTTTGGGAGTGAGTTTGGCTGGAACATCTCCTCGCTTCGGGTAGACTGGCTTAATAAACGCGAATATCACGTACTCATGGCTCGGAATCGCCTGACACCATGATACCCCAAAACATCAAATTTGCTGGAACCTTGTCAGACAAGGTAGTTGGATCCACTGAGTGAGGATACGCGAAAACGCCTGGTTTGTGCGCTTCAGGCGGCGGGGCCCGAACTGTTCTGCTGTGCAGGTTTCTGCGGCGCAAGCGACAATCTTCTTTTGCTTGAGAGATGTGATGTTCGTTTTGGAATGGTAAGATTAACTCTGGACTACGCTTTCTGGAAATCTACCACGCCACCGGTTCCAACCTATAAGACCTGGAACACATGAAAGTAAAAACTGCAGGAACGTAGGATTTTCACATAGAAAATTCGAACCGTCAGCATGTTGTTCACCCTTTCTTTGGCATTCTCAGAAGCGCTGAAATGATTCACTTTTTTGTGACCCCTTATAAACCGCTACAGCCTGCGACAAGCCGTTTGAAAATGTTCTCCACGACTTGGAAGGCCTTTTTTGTGAGTGCGCTTGATTAAACATCCGTTTACCTAGAAGACGGCTCCCTGGATTTCAGTGATCGTGGGAGTAGGGATTTTGCTTCTATTTTGATTTGCTTTGAGACCAAGGTTTTGTCGTAGATGAAAGTTCTCAGGATCTCTGGCAGTTTGAGCGTCCTCACCTCTATGATTGCGAGCAAGTGGAGAACAAAAGGTCTTGGGTTTCAACTTGGTGAAAGGGACGGTAGTGTAGATAAACCAGCTGCCGATGTACTACCAATGTATGAATTACTATTTTGTTTGAAATTTTCAAAAATATACTTGATTTCGGGCACTTATTTGCATAACTGGTCTCTGAATATGTTGCGGCAAATATTTTCTCGTAGTGATGAAAAATGAACTCTGAGGATTGAAGCTTGTCTTTAATTGTGTTTGCAGGTAACCAGCGCTATTCGGAATTCTCTCCTTGAAAATCCACTCTCAAAGGAAAAGCGTGACGAGCTGATGTTCGGTAGAACACATAATCCTGTGAGTATTTTTTTCAGTGTTATCAATTAATATTGCACGTCAGCTGATGATGAGTTGGTACTGAACTTTGATACGTAGTCGGAATAATGAATGGGCTAGCGCTGTGGCAAAAAAGGATATAATCGGCTCTGGAAGAGTATCGTCTAGTTTTTGCTTGTCGATAAGCTGTGATGTTTCTCTGTGCGGAGGCAAACTTCAAAATCGATACGATGAGAGGGACTCGGGGTTCAGGACACAGGTTCAATTGGGAAAAGTCCGCGCTCTCAGGTTTAGGAAAATGGATTTTTTTTCCTCTGTAACGTTTGGCCATAATTGTGGAATCTGCTACTGATTGTCAGCACACAGGAGCTAACTAAACGATAATGTGGAAGCTCTTTTATTAACTAAACCACTCAAACTTGTCCTTTCTTGGAGTTTTTCCCGATCAGGTTTTTCAGTTTTTACCGATGGGTAATATCCCAGAGCACCGGGCAGCACCTTCATTTCTTGCCGCTGGACTTGTTTCTTGGTTAGCGGGGTCATAAGAGAAAAATGAACGTTTATCTTCAAGCGAACTAATCAGTTGTTCTCCTAGCTCTCTCTATGTTCCAAAACTTCT